TGAGATATACGCACAAGCTATAGTTCAAGCCACACAAAACCCCATCCAGTCATTCGTTGAAGTCTTCTCGGGGCCAAATGCTCTCTCGTGTGCCTTGGCGAAAGCCTGGGGAGTCCCGTCCCCGATCCCTCCAGGCACCGTCACACCCCCAGGGCCCGAGAAGTCAGAATTCCTTGATGGACGTATGGAACCACAAGCATCGACTAGCGCTTCAGCGTCAGCAACACCAGTGCCTGGAGTTCCAGAGATCGCACTTGGTGAAACTCCTGCAGCTGAGTCGGCACAGCCACGGGCACAAGCAGTGGAGGCCGCTAAACAGCCAAGTTTTGGGAAGAGGCAACAGCTCATACCCAATGGGCTGAATGATGCTGCCGCCCACCTTCAGCAAGCTTGCAATTTGCAACATCCATTCTCATCAATGGCAACTCTCAAGACGGATCACCAGGAGTCAATTAAAGGCCCTGGAGGGAAATCCGTCGACACTGGTTCGCTACCGCCTCGAACAGCTCGCCAAGGTCAGGAAACTTAAAGTTGAGCTGGCTGCTGAGCAGAGGCGAGCAAATGCAAAGGCAGCCTGGACGGCGCAAAGACTCAGTACCAGGCCCAACACCTGTTTAATGGAGAGGCTGCAGACCCTGTTGCACATAGAGGACACAGAAGTTCCCCAGCTGTGCCTCACTGGGATGCGCATCACAGGGAAGGCGCAAACCTCCCCTTTCTTCGAGCCCTGCGAAGTCAGGCCAGTGATGTCACGTGACACATTCTTGAACGGATGTCAAGAGAGATCACTGGCTATGATCGAAAGAGTCCGGCACATGGCCCAGAAGGGTTCCCCAGAGATGGCAAAGGCCATCTGGGAGAAGACCCGACGGGAAATTGAAGCCGGCACCATGGGTCCAGCTATTACACTGGACCAAGCCCGTGCCAAGTACGGCGCGGACACCAAGTTTCGGCCTGGCTCAAGGTGCCAAGTTCCGCCGAATCGATGACCACACGGCATCAGGCGTGAACCAAATGGCCCATCGGCTACAGAAGGTCCCCATGACAATGGTTGATTACATTGGTGTGATGCTCAAGGCGCTGGCCGCCCAGTCGACATCCATCCAGCTGGCCACAGAAGATATGAAGTCCGCTTATCGGCAAATAGCGTTACACCCTGCCGATGTCAGGTTTGCCATCGCCGGAGTATACAACCCGGAAGCTGACGAAGTCTCACTACACGAAATGTACGGACAGCCTTTCGGCGCCGGCCACTCCGTACCCAATTTTTGCCGAGTGGCGGAGTGGATATCCCGCTGCTCAGTTCGCTTGTTTCACACCTTCTCTGACCACTTCTTTGACGATTTCTTTTGCCTGGAGCCTTCTCCAACAATTGAATCTTCGCTCTTTTGTTCAAAAGCTCTCTTTACGGAACTGGGCTTCCAGCTCGATCCAGACAAGTCGCAACCTCCGTCGCGCACATGCGCCATCCTTGGCATCATGTTCTCCACCCAGTGCCTAGCGGCGGAACGCAGGATCCACCTGGAGGCTAAGCCCACTCGCGTCACCAATCTTTGCGAGACCATAAATCAGGTACTGTCCTCAGGTCAACTTTCAGCTGCTTTGGCAGCCAGTCTTGTTGGGAAGTTTGGTTTCCTTTGCTCCACCTTATTTGGAAAGGTGGGTCGCTGTTGCACAGGTCCTTTGCGTAAGCGCCAGTACTCCCAACACAAGTTCCAAGGCCTGACCCCTGATGTCAAATGGTCACTCAACATGATGCTGGCTTTCCTCAAATCTTGTCCCTCACGCGAACTCGCGCTGAAGGATACTCCACCGATCGTTTTGTACACCGACGCCTCGGACGTTCCGGGTCGCCAGCCGCAGCGACTGGTGGGGGCAGTCCTCTTCATCCCAGACTCACACCAACTCATGTACTCTGCCGAGGAGGTTCCCCACTCAATGGTAAAATCTTGGCGCCCACGTAAATCCTACATGGGTCAGCTAGAACTAGTCGCACCACTGTGGGCACTCGAGATCTGGAGCCAACAGCTTCAGGAACGCTCTGTCCTTTTGTTTGTCGACAACGATAGCGCTGCCACCAACCTAGTGAAAGGCTATTCCCCCCAACCCGACAGTTCTAACCTCGTCGGAGCCTTCTGGTTGACAGCCGCAAAACTGAAGTTGCATATATATATATATATATATTGATCACGTGGAGTCCAAAAGCAATATTGCTGACGGACCCTCGCGCAATTCATTTGCAGAAGTCATCCGGTTGGGAGGGACTTGGACACCGCCCAAGACTGGCACCTTGGGTGGGCCCGCCACGCTCTCCCCTTTCCAGCTGGCGCACTGGAACACCGGGGGGGAAGTCAGAGAGAGGTGACACCTGACAACCACCCAACCTGCGGGGGGAGGTAGAGTTGGGTGTTTCTCTCTGGGTGAGTAGTTTAACGTT